ACCAAAACTCGATTGCCCGTAGTTCTTCACTGGACTACCAGTTTACCTCCCAGTGAGTGTTCATAGCTTGTAAGGATTGAATGGCCTTAAGGTATGTTCAACGCTTGTTTCGGCATCGTCTGCTGTAAAATTTGCAAAAAGAACTTTAACGGATGCGTGAAACCGCAAGGTCATTGCCTCACGAACCCTCCTCGTCTCTCCTATACCTACAAACATCGATCTTCATCACGCCTTATACGAGAACTGTAAACTCACGCGCACGCCCCCACGGATCCGCTACGTGCGTGCGTCGGGGTCCTACGCGCCCCAGCGCGGTCACGGCGCTGCGGCTAGCCATAGTGGCCAGCAATTTCATCTATTTTTTTTCCAACAAGGACCTAATGGCAAGAATAGAAGTATAAAACGAAGTGGAGGGTTGTAGTTGAAAAATGTAATAAAATATAAGAGAAATAAATATTGAGTTGATCTCAGGATTTACACAAAGTTTAGAGTTCCCAATACAAAGTGGTTTATTAGCTTCTTTTTTTTCAAAAAATGCACAAATCGACTAGAACTTTTAAAAATAAAACCCATATAAAATTGAAATCAAATCTAAAAATTATGATTCAAATTTTGTTAGGCTCCTTTCAACTAGAAATGATAAAACACATGCTACACTTTGAATGTTCATTGTATATTTTATTTTGTGGAACATTTAGTGTATTTAATTGTTGTGCTCAATAAATCCTGTAAAATTTACTCTAAGTTATATCAATGTGACATTAAAGTAAAAGTTTCACCACCAACAAAGTTTCTGTTAGGGAGTTAAAAGTGATTTAGTGTTTATATGCCGTGACATTTTTATAGGTTGTGTATGCGCTTCAAAACTAATGAAATTTTGTATAGTAGGTTGATGTAGTACATGATTTCTTGCATCATCTCTGATGTCCCGTAATAAAGCATGCATGATGCAAAATCAGTGACCCGGCCCCATGGGGAATTATAAAGTAGTTATGGTCAACTTCAATCTGATGTACTTTTAAGTTCAACCTATCCAATCAGAGGTGGACCTGATCCACACAGTAAAAAATGTTGTGAGAGGAATCCATGTCATCCATGATAGTCTACTGCACCTGAATACTCCTACTGGATCTTTCATCAGACCCTGTTCGCTTGATTATTTCTATGGTTTATAAGTCGGCTAATATTATTTTGTTGTGAGAGAAAAACATTGTATGCCTGATACGATGAAATGAAAAATGTGTCGGTCTTAGCCGTTGAGCATTCCAACTACTCCATGATGCAATCCTACTCGTACAACTAACCTTGGCCTTTGATTGATTTTGTCTTGCTGTGCATGTCAACGTGTGCGTACGTGCCAAGAACAGTTAGCCTGACAGATCCCTTTCGTTGTAGTAGTTGGCCTGAAAGGAAGCTGAAGGAAATGAAAATTCCCAGGAAAAAAAGAAGAAGAAGAGTCAATTCCCAGGAACAGTTAGCCTGACAGATCCCTTTCGTTGCAGTAGTTCGCTGGCTCGTAAACGATCGTAAATTTCTAGCCAGAAACAGTATTTTTCTCTCACACCAAACTAACCAGCAATAAATAATTCACGATACGATACGGCCTTCCGAACAGCAGGCAAGGTTGCCAAGAAGCTGGGGGCAGAGTGTCAGAGCCTCATAGTCAGTGGTAGGAGCAGCATACTAGCACGTGCCACGTTTGTGAGTGCGAGTGCGCGTGGGACCAGCATGTCATTCACTGTGCTAATAGTTCACAGTTCACACCTTGGCAAGATTGGCTGAAGGCGCCACAGAATATACCCAGGGAGAAAGGGATAGAGAAGAGGACGAAGAACAGCAGTATCATTCACTCATTCATACTCCGTGGGAGGAAATTTTAATACTGCTGATAATACCAGTGAATCCATCTTCAATCATGCACAGACGCACAGGATGACACGGCACAATATTGATCCCCTCACCAGTTTTTTTTTTGGTATCAAAACCGAACTTTGTAATTGGAACTGTTACAAACTTTGTAACTAAGGAATTTCTAGAGGATCTGGAATTTTACATAAAAAAAATTATATGAAGTCATTTCCTCCGGCCCTGTTCCGCAGCACTACTTCAGCAGTACTTTTCAACGAACGAACAATATTTTTCTCTCACAATAAACATCAGCATAAGCCAAATTTTAGCGAAACAAACAGGGGAGATCTTACGGAATTACTGTGGGATGGTTTGGAGAAATTCTGCAAGAGGTTGAACCTTGAAGAAAGTTTCCTTTGGATTTGTTTGGCACCGCTTTGAGCGGCTTCGGCTCCATGCACATGTGGCACTGTAGCCATGTACCATGAAACAAAATGGCTCCGGCTCAGACAAAATATAATTGGTAAAGTGGAGAAGCTAGAGGAGCCAGTGTTTTGGGTTTCGGCGGCTCCGCTACAGTGTTGCTCCTGTGGCGGAATTGAAACCGGCCAGAGCCCCTCCAAATAGGGCATGTGTATCACCTTCTCTTATTGAAATCATATTCTTTTACCGCACTCCAATATCTAAACATTCCATCTTACGGTTTTTTATATTGTCTGAATCCATAGGATTTAAAGTAAACATTGCTTCTGCCAAAAAAGAAGAAAAAATCACCGACACATGCATCTAGGCCGGGCCAGGGCCTGAGGGCCGCCGTGTTCCTCTACCTCCTGTGCAAATGCAGTGCATGTGCAACGCAACGGTTTGCAGCAGTAAACTCCGAGAGGTGGGCAGGTGGCGCCGTACGGGTATGGGCGAGGCCAGAGCGAGGAGCAGCAAGCAGCAGCCCGGCGACGAATGGGTGGTGTCCCCTGGCGTCTAGGGTGGCTCCGTGCTCCAATGGCCGAGCACCCCCAAGCTGCCGGTGTGCAGTGCAGACATGTCCGTCTCTTCCAAGGCATCTCCCCACCATCCCCTCTCCTCGGGATTCACCCATGACAAAGTTTCAGAGAAGATGGATGGATGACTGAAAGAAAGAGAGACATCATGCGGTGAGCTGGTGACCTTCTGCTGCTCGTCGTTTTCTCTTGGATCTTTCTGGCAAATAGCCACACTCACCGGGCGCCACTACTCAGGCTTTGTTTAAATCCAGAGCTAAAATACTACTCAGGCTTGTTTAAATCCAGAGCTAAAATTTAGGGGTGTCATATTGAGTATCACATCGAGGTGTCACATGAGAGTGTTCGGATAGCAATAATAAAACAAATTACAGAAGTCCTCAGTACACCGCGAGACAAATTTATCAAGCCTAACTAGACTATCATTAGCACAGACCACTGTAGCTTTACTGTAGCACCACATTGTCAAATCATTGACCAATTAGGCTTAAAAATTTCGTCTCGCAAATTAATCGTAATTTGCGTAATTAGTTATTTTTTAGTCTATATTAATACTCCATGCATGTGTCCAAATATGATAGGGACTAAACTTTAGGGGAGGAATTAAATAAGGCCTAACATGAATTTTGTTGTTGTTGTTGGGTTAATTCGCATCCTCTTTCGTTGTCGTCAATAAACAATATTGTCTCGAGAGTGACTGTTGCGTGTCAAAGGGAGATTAGCATTGCTTTCAGGCTTTCATTCAGCTCTCCTCCATGATTCACCAAGAAATGATGACAGCAGAGTAGCACACACAACAACATAAGGAACACGGTGAAATTCTTTCTTTTACGTGGAAAAGGGCTTTGATCCCAATTTTCTGTTGAAAAGAGGGCATGTGATTGAAAGCACATAATACATAACATAACCCTGCTTGTGATTGCCCTTTTGTTTGTTCCCTTTTGCAGTTTTATAATCCATCCCATGCATGCATAATGCATTATAGGCACCCTGTCTGCCTGTCTCCTTCCCCATGAGACAAAAAACCCAAGGGCCCTCCAGTGCCTGGTGCCTGCCCCTCAGCTTTTATTCTTTTGCTGTGGTCACATCCCCTAGGGAAATACTCCTATAAAGAAAACATCTCTCAAGAACCAACATGCATATATAGAAAGAAAAGAAAAAAAAAGCGCGCACAAAAGCTACCAAAACAAATAATCACTTCCTCTGGATAAGCAAAACATCATGAAAAAATAGCACTGTTTCCCTAGATGCTCAATTAGCATACAAGCTCTTTTTTTCCCCTCAACTTTGAATTTGTTTACCATCATTCATTTATATATACTCCCTCAAGTCTCGAATACTCAAGCATAAAGACAAACTTGACAGTCGGAGCTTCATAATTACTGAATGAGGGGATATATAATACTTGACAGTCTCAAGATTGTAACTAATGCCTCTTGGCTACTAATAATGTAATTCCCTAATTTGTTAAGACAACATGGCCACAAAAGCAATATATTTGCAGGTGGGGATCCTCTCTCCCCCTAGCATCTTACAAAAAAAGTACTACCAAGTAGGATTATGCTTCGGTGTGTGAGTAATAGAATAGTAAGAACAAATACATTTACACTTCTCTTTTAGTTATTCAGACAGTATATAATATTATCATTGTTTGACTATAAAAAATATAAATCTTATATAAGTTATTTTTTAATTATACTGGTTAGCTGTTTAAGATTATTGTTTGAAAATTCAGCCACCTAGAAAATAGCAAGTCCCATAAATTAATTTTCAGTTTCTGCTCCCTGCTACTAGTAAATTACCCTCCTGTCCTTGCTGAATTTGTGCATAGGGCGTAGGCACATCGAAGAGGAAGAGGACAGCATGTGGTGCAGACCCGTCAGAGTCAAAGCGTTCCGTCCCGTCCCGTTGCATTCCACTGGCCACCAGCTCCGTGCCCGTGCCGTTCCTCACTCGCCCAAGCTTTACTTTACGGGACTTTACTCGCCCCCACCACCACCACCTCCAGTCCCGCCTTCCGCTTCCCACCCGCCCGCCTGCCTCCCCGCGCCGCCGCCTCCGGATCGCGGCCGGACCTCCCTCCTGCGCCGAAGCTTCGCGCGCCAGCCCCGGCCCATGCCCGGCCGCCGGTGACCAGCGCCCTCACGGCCGGCCATGGGCTGCGTGCACGGCCGCCCCACCACCTCCAGCCCCGCGCCCGTCGCCACCTCCTCCCGCCGCCGGGACCATCCCGCGGTCACCCAGACGCAGCAGGAAGGGGTCGATTCCTCCGACGCTGCCGCCGCGGTGCCGCCGGCGGACGCCGCGGCGCCGGACCAGCAGGCGGCCGAGAAGCCCGAGAAGGTCAAGCGGGAGCGGCGGTCGCGGTCGTCACGCTCCGCAGCCGCCGCCGCGGCGGCGGCGCACGCCGAGGTGCGCCTGGGAGGGAGGTTCGCCAACAAGGCGCGCGGCGAGCAGGTCGCCGCCGGCTGGCCCGCCTGGCTCTCCGCCGTCGCCGGCGAGGCCATCGATGGCTGGACCCCTCGCCGCGCCGACTCCTTCGAGAAGATCGACAAGGTGCGCCCTTTCCTCCGCCTCCCTAGCTCCGTGATCCGTGCAGCTCGAACGCCGAGGTGAAAAAATTGCATTTTTTTTTCTCCCCTCACCCTCTCCCTCTCTTCCTGTCTCTCACAGATCGGCCAGGGCACGTACAGCAATGTGTACAAGGCGCGGGACTCGCTGAGCGGCAAGATCGTGGCGCTCAAGAAGGTGCGCTTCGACAACCTGGAGCCCGAGAGCGTGCGGTTCATGGCGCGCGAGATCCTCATCCTGCGCCGCCTCGACCACCCCAATGTCATCAAGCTCGACGGGCTCGTCACCTCCCGCATGTCCTGCAGCCTCTACCTCGTCTTCGACTACATGGTCCACGACCTCGCCGGCCTCGCTGCCAGCCCCGACATCAAGTTCACGCTGCCCCAGGTCGAGATCCCATTCCGCTGACAGCCTGACACAGCATCGCGCTCAATTATGTGAAATGCGACTGAGATTGAGGTGTTTATATGGGGGCAGGTCAAGTGCTATGTGCATCAGCTGTTGTCAGGGCTCGAGCACTGCCACAACCGGGGAGTGCTACATCGCGACATCAAGGGGTCAAATCTGCTTTTGGACAACAACGGTGTGCTGAAGATTGGTGATTTCGGTCTGGCGTCCTTCTTCGACCCCAACCATAAACAGCCAATGACAAGTCGGGTGGTGACACTCTGGTACCGCCCACCAGAGTTGCTGCTTGGTGCCACCGATTATGGAGTTGGTGTCGACTTGTGGAGTGCAGGGTGTATACTAGCTGAATTGCTGGCTGGAAAACCTATTATGCCTGGACGAACTGAGGTTAGCTACAGAATGCTTGACTGTTGCATTATATATTGTCCCTGATGAAATACCATCTGGCTGTCAGCACTCGCCATTTAAGGATTCTGTTTACCAAGGCTGTGATTTTTTTGTTACCAAGGGAATCGTAGTGTATTTTATTTAGTAGTGATCCTGCTGCAGTACTGCACTACTTCTCATGGGGAGGCAAACCTTCAAATTTTCAATTTCTTACCCAAGCTATATTGGTTTTGTTATCTTGTTAGATAATTGAGCAATAGCTTAACCTATTCAAACTCTGGGTGTCATACAAAATGCCCTTGATGAAAATCATATTTCATATTTTTGAGCAAAATCATATAAAAAATGACCTTTGTGTGATGATTAAAACGGACATGTTTTCATCAGGGTTGATAGTTTTACTACAAATGTACTTTTTTGACAATGCAGACCTATACCTGATTCATGGGAATAAAGAACATATCAATCATCTGAAAATCTTTATCTGCTTAGTGTCTCTTGCCACCATTGTTACACGGTAGACCCTGAATCACATGCCTTTCTTCAGAGCTCTGATGCTGAATTATTGTTCACACCAGACAATTCAATGAAATAATTTGGAAATGCAACTGTTTTTTTTTTTTAAAAAAAATTCAGACAGTTCAATGATGGTCATTTGTTCAGTCACAATTTTTATTTTCATCCATCGCTTTCCATGATATTTCCCTTTTTTGATTGGTGTCTTTCTTTCAGGTGGAACAGCTGCATAAAATTTTTAAGCTATGTGGCTCTCCGACGGAAGAATATTGGAAAAAATCAAAGTTGCCTCATGCAACTATATTTAAGCCTCAACAGCCATACAAAAGGCGAATAGCGGATACATTCAAAGATTTCCCTCAAACTGCAATTCGACTGATCGAGACACTACTTGCAATTGATCCAGCTGATCGTTTAACAGCAACTTCTGCATTAAACAGTGATGTAAGTTGTCTGAGTTGTTATCATTCTGTTCTTATTTTCTTTACCAAAGAAAACACCGACTTTGCTTTATGGATTAATTACCTTCCCTGATGTCATTAACGACAGCATACTAGTTCACCAGGAATCTTAGAACCCAAAGGTTGACACTAATAACCACTTCGGTCTCTCAAACCGATTTTCAGAAGAGATTAGATAGAAGCTAGTTACCAGGTCAATGCTCTATGTTAGTCCTTGAAAAAAAATCCCAGATTTTCATAGGGTCATCGGTAGTTCAATTTTTACTGGACATAGAAGCATATGACTTGTTGACCACTTTGGTTTTCAAATTGAATTTTGGAAGAGATTATAGATAACGTTAACAGGTCATTACTCTATGATAGTCCTTGAAAAAAGGTGTTCATTGTTTCCAGATTTCTAAAGGGCAACAATACTTCATTTTTTTACGGGACATGGAAGTATAATGACTTGTAGCCATAATAACTTAAAATTGTTACCTATGTATTGATCAAGATATTTCTATTTAGTTAAACCGCCTTGATCCTTAAAATTTAGTTAAGACTTACAAAGGCCCCTTGGTACCTAAATCCAAATGTTATTCCTTTTAAATACAATATTACTAGTCTTGTTTGAATTTATGTCAGTAATTTATATATTGTGCTATACGTTGGTACTGTGAACAATTCTTTTCAAAAGCAAGACCCTTATTTTCACTACACATGCAGTTCTTTGCAACAGAGCCTTATGCGTGTGAACCATCAAGTCTGCCCCAATACCCGCCAAGCAAAGAGATGGATGCGAAACGAAGAGACGAAGAAGCTAGACGGTTTGTTGCCCTAACACTCACAAATTTCTATCTATGTTTTGCATTTGTTGTTCTGAACATCTATGCAAAATAATGTGTAGTGATGTGAAATCTGTAATTGATACTTTGCCTACATCCGCATCTTCCATGGGTGACAAAACTTGGGGCAACTGTGCTCATGCTATTGACCGGAAGACAAAACATGACAAAAATGTGTTCAGCTTACGAAAATTTTATTTCTTGTCTCAAAAGTAACTTTGGTCCACTGCTAGGACATGTACTGATCTAGGAGTATACTAAAGTGGGAGTCATGGCTGTCGTGCCAAGATTCCAGGATTTCTGGGAACTTGTTGAGAATAATGCTTAGACATCATCATGGAATACTGGTTACACATCATGATGAGTCATGAAACAATTTGTCTCCCTTCTTTTCTGTTGTATATTGTCCTTGTTAGATGCAATTGTCTTACTAATTTATCTTAACATTCTGGTTGCTCTTTGGCTGACTGGCTTATTTATTGGATGGACAACAGCTTAAGGGCTGCTGGTGGTAGAGCTAATGGAGATGGAACAAGGAAGACAAGGACCAGGGATCGGCCTAGGGCTGTTCCAGCTCCCGAGGCAAACGCCGAACTGCAAGCAAATATTGATGTATGTTAATTCCTTATTTATTTGAGTTACTTAGCAGTTCATTGGCATGAATTTGCATATACTGTGTTGCATAGCATCTGGAAGGGGGCCAAATTTAGTCTCTTGGCTGACACAAATCTTTTTTTTCCTCTACAGAAAAGAAGGTTAATAACTCATGCAAATGCGAAGAGCAAGAGTGAAAAGTTCCCTCCGCCGCACCAGGATGGTGCGCTTGGATTTCCCTTGGGCTGTTCGAATCACATGGAACCTTCATTTGAGCCCCCGGACCCTTCTTCCTTCAGCACTGTATTTCCTTTCGATAAAAGCGCAGTGCCTACCTGGTCTGGACCATTGGCGGACTCTGCAGCTGGCAACCAGAAGCGGAAACACAAGTCTGGCCGCTCCTCAAAACAACCAGCAACTGCCCGTGCTAGATGATACATCATGTCATGCTTAGTGCATTAAGTCTTCAATACCCCCCAAAAAGGAAAATACTTCGCAGTGGTTCCAACAAACTGGGATATCTGATTCGGAACCAAGAGCTACAACAATGAATTGTTTTTTTTCTCGGATCCATTCATGTACGGATTTTTTTCCGAACATCGGTCAATGTATAGGCTGGAGAGGGAGCTGGATTAGTCAATTATGTACATTAGGTTCTCTTTTCCATTCTTACAAGCAGCAACATGTCATGTTAGGTTAATTAATTTGAGTGAGGAATGGAACTGTTAGGTCAACTTAGCAAGTCATCACTCTACATAGATTACTTCCAATCAATTGAATATTTTTTTACCTGCTATTTTGTCAGTAAGTTACATCATCAGTTATCCTTTGTTTCATCTACAAGATCTTCAAACAGAATCAAAAGCGTCGCAAAATTCAAATGCTTTCTGCTGTTATGTTCTACAGCCCAGATATGACATTTGTCAAGTTCTATGCCAGAAATGTTGTAATCTGTGTGCTACAAGCGCGGCCTAATGCGTGGCCGAAGGTTGTATGTATCTCCTTTGAGTCTTCTGATATGGTGATGGAAAAATTTCGCAGCTTTCTTGTAGCAAGACGCCGTTTTGGGGGCGAATTCCTTGGGGCCGCACGAAGTCCAGGTCGATCCTGCTGTCCACTTCGTCCTGCAGCTCGTGGAAGACCCAGGAGTAGCTGCCAAGGCTTCCGTCACCCTCTGAGCTGTATGGATCACACCACACGCCATGTCTCCTGGACCAGGGAAGCTCGGTCAGATCTGTACCGGTATATGACAGTTACACAGTGCTTAGTTGCAAAGCACACATGAAATGAAAAGGTTAGGACAATTTGGTCAATTTGTGTACTAGTCATTTGGTCACGTAAGAATTACATTCAGGTCCCCTTTGGAACAAAGAAAAAATGGAGGAATTAGAGGATTGGAATACTATAGGAAAATTTCCTATGAACCCTTTTGAAACCAAGGATTTGGTTCCTAGGAATTCTATGAAATTCCTATGGAATGGCTTGTTTCATAGGAACTTTGGAATTTCCTTTGTGTCACTCTCTCTCATCGAATTCTTGTGTTTTTCTTGCACTCCACCCAAACATCTTATGTTTTTCTATGTTTTCTCAATATATAGGATTCAAAATGTCAGGGCATTCTATTCCAAGTTTTTTCTATTCTTGTGTTTCTAAATCCTGTGTTCTAAAGAGGCCAAAATTTTGACTCGTCGGAAAGTGAGAATTTTTTTTTAGGACGCGGAGTAATAACTATCTATTATCCCTATTAGTCAGTCTTTTTGGATCCCACCAATTAAATAATTTTATCTGAATTAATTATTGTAATCCTAATAGGATCCAAACAGACTCTTACAATGGGCGGGTAGAGTTTTTTGTTAAGAGAACTGTTGGGCCGGGCGTTCGTTCATTGACAGTTGGTCGTGTAGTTAATTGGGTGGCGCGTCCGTTGGGTAGGTTCCGCAGGCTGCCTCGATGGCTCGATCGTGGGTCAAAGCAGTTGGGAACGTACGGCTGCCACGCGCGTTCCCGGCAAGGAAGGAGACGGAGCGACAACGGTCCTAGTCCTAGCTTCTGCTTCGTCGTCGGTTGAGGCCACCGGGGACCGGGGTGCTATGCCGGCGGCAGCGGGCAGGCCCACCTGCCACTGACTCAAGTGCAGGAGGAAACCAACTACAGAGGAGACTCATGTGTCGGGTCCGGCGGATGCGTTCTCACCGCCCTAGAGGCTGGAAGGCTGGAGAGACGCCGCCGGTTCGCCAAAGGGGGCATTCACGCGTCGCCGGCAGGCATGGCTATCAGGCCATGGTTTGCCAGCTCGTCGCCCCTGCTTGCGCTTCTCTTCTCGCATGGAGGTCACAACTCACAACTCATGTCTGAGTGGCCAACGGCTGGCCGCAACGCCCGGCAGGCCTGCATGCTCGTCAAGCAACGCGCAACCGTAGCACTGCACTGCACATGTGCTAATGACGCATTAATTAGACTTAATAAATTCATCTCGTGGTTTACTGATGAATTCTATAATTTATTTTTTTATTAGTATCCGAATATCCCATGCGATACCCCAAAATTAACACCCGATGTGACACCCAAAATTTTACACCCTGGATTTATGGCCTGAGTATCATCACCTCAAGTATGTAGTGTTGTTAGTTTCAAAAAAAAAGTACGTAGTGTTGTTGATTAGCACGTACAAATTCAAGGTAATCAGTGCGGTAACACCACAATGCCAGGATACGACGGCATTTGCTTCTCAGATACAAATAAAAAAACATGTTATTATATCTATCACAAATCCTCAACGGCCAACGCACAGCAGAAACAGGGCACGCCAACTAGGGCGCACGGGCATACAAGCGTGTATTATCCCCACTCCAGAAGCTGAGCAAGCGCTACAATTACACTTACATCAATCAAAACAAATGGGATCAAAATGGCCGGCCGCCCATCTGCGCTGTCTGTGCCTGCATCGCCGCTGTAACATCATCTGGCGAGACTCAAGTGTGTTCCAGTTGTAACATCATCTGGCGAGCCATGCGTCTTGTTTAGCTACGCCACTTGGAGCTGTGGGGTGGCAAGCTTGTCCAGATCCACAGGGATGTCGAGGCCGGACTTTGTCAGGCAGTCAACCATCGTAGGGATGTCCTTGATCAAAGCTTCCTCCAACGCCTGATAGATGCAGAGATGTTTTGTTACTAGATAGATAGGTTCGTATATAACAGATAAGATAAACACGGAGTGCTCAGCAGTTTTGAAAAGCAGCAAGAGTTGCTCAACATAATAAATAATGAAAAAGGCACTCCCCAGTCAGATTTACCAAGACGTAGTGTCACAAGGAGAAAGTGTACTTCTGCCAGGCTGGGGAATACAAGACTAACCAAATGCCTGATTGTGGAGGAATCGAACCAAAGATGATCAAGTATCTCACCTTCCTATTATCTTTCTTCTGCCTTTTTACCACCTCTGTAGGCCATTCAGCAATAAGTTTCTCGAGTTCATCTTTCACAAATGGTTTCTTCTGATCAGGCAAATGCTGCGCCCAACCATAAATTCTCATCAGGTGATCACGCCAATTCAAGGTTTTATATGTAAAAATCATCTCTATCAAACTATTTTAGCTTAAGGACTCTGTAAAATAGTGAAACGTATTATTTTAACATTCAAAATGCCAAACAAAAAAAATAGCTTGAGTTTGATATGCTTGAGCAGCATGGCCAGCATAGATGCAGCAGGATATTCAGAGTAAGGAAAAAATATCTCTTATCCAGAAATATTTTGGAATATGCTGCTGGCATGAAGCAAATCCAGTATTTTAGTAATACAGGTCTGATGGCAATAATAATCCTGTGCCAAACCTTGTAAAGGAGTTTAATCATGGCAGCGGCATTTTCTGGCTTCCGATCAAGCAGAGACCCCTGCAATAAGACAAATAACAAGCCTGAGAACAGAAACCTGAAGCAGTGCACACAACTGAACAAATCACCAACAGTGCCTATGTAGCTATGTTTCACAAAAAGGCCAAAGTGCTAACTACAGACTATGGATCATGAATTAGTATGATATGCTACAGAACCACTTAATGTGCTATTGCAACTTAACATGGCACGTTGGAGAACAGATTTAGATTAGTTAGTTCAATTTGACACAAAATAAAACAAAAGGAAGAAATACTGTAATTTATTGCTTCTTGTGTAATAATGTCCATTCCAGGTACAATTACCTTTGCACATGCAAAACCTGATGCAAGAGTATAATGTTTGACAGACCTGCCTCTTAGACTATTAATGTTCCAAATAGACTGAGAATCCCCTGCAGAAGCATGGTTTAATACATTAACAACAATGTTATAGAGAAACTAAGATTTAACTACCAAACAAAAAAAAACTACTATTTCATAAATAAAATTAACAACATCACAATCCCTCCTGGATTTCATCATGCAGGTAAGGTAAGTAGGTAACTGCCCCTGGTCCAAACCCATACCGCTTGAAACGAGCAATGAAAGATGTTCAGTTCATCCATAACTAATTTGGCTGCAGTTGCAATGGCAATGCACCTCCAATGCTGGCTTTAGGTTTAGGTCGGCTGTCATATTTAGCTGAGATCAGTAAGAAGAATCAAACTGCTTACCAACTTTGGCAGCAAAGTCCATCCAAATGTCAAATGCAGCACGGTGTAGTTTGACACCTGCCTTAACAAATCTCTCCGCGTATTTTGAGAGTAAATCCCATCTATCAGCATTATAGCAGATGCTGCACAAGACAATATAAATCCATGAAATCAATAATTGAAAGGAGCATGAAATCTTGAAAGGAAAGAACGAGTCAAGAAAAAATAAAATACAAATCAACCGCAACAAATTCTCGAGGTTACCATTTCTGCTAAATTCGCATAATTGCTAATTAGACATATCACGGATATGTTGACTTATTGAGTAAGATACCTAATTAGTAGTGTATCATAATAATATTTCGAGTCTTTATTTTGTTACACGGCTAATGTGAGTCCGAACTATATTGCAAAAAGATAGGACTAATATGATGCAATGAAACATTGAAATCAATTTTATAGAGGCTAGGTCATGGTGTACAGTAATATGAAAATTATAACAACTGAGAACAGACAATGACATACCTGAAGACTATATCAGCTGTGCCTGGTTGCAGCGGTAAGGAATTTCTCAATAGGACATGAATTACGTTTTCCATTAGTTTGGTGTCATTTTGCTCTTTAGCATGTTGCTGCAAAAGGAGAGAATCATAACCAAGTAACTAGGAAAAATGGATACCAGAAGACTTTTTCTCTTGAACAGAATACCAATAGATAATGAGTAGAACCAATCGTTGGTGTTATTCCATAGACATTATGCTTCCATAAAGCCTTCAACCCTGCATTCATCACATTACTTAATCAAACTGAATTACTGAATTATTTTTGTCAGTAATAGTTATTATAGAATA